CAAGCTTATTATTGGTTAATATTTTGATACAGGGACAATTTACCAAGGTTCTGTCAACTAGAGCTGATCGACTCGACCTCCCGGTTCATTGCGGTCGACTTCCGGGTCAGGATTAGCCAACAGTACTTATCCACCGGTGATATCATTGGCGACGATCCCGACAGAGACCGAAGACTTGATTTGGAAAATCAGATGAAACACTACACCGAAGCCATCGAAATCATCGACAAGTTCTCCAAAATGAAATTATAAGACATTTGTCATAACATACATAACATATTTGGAGTAATGTTTTATCGTAGAGTACAATGAAATGTAGTGTCTATTAGTAAGCTTAATTATTTATGAAGTAGTTTTAACATTATATAGAAATCTGTAAAAAGCTGTCAATCGTGTGTTTCATAATTTTAGTAAAATAATACTTAAATAATTATTTTACAATTAAACATTAAATGAAATTAACAATAAATAAATAATTACAGGCAGCCACACAAATAAACTGAAAGTTTTTATTAGTATTTATGGGAAATGTATTGGCAATTTAAGTAAATCAATTTAAAATTTCAAAATTAACAATAAATTTAAATTAAATGTATAAATGATAAAAATTTATTGAATAGGAATTTTATTCACTATGACATAGTGTGATGGGTACGGTAACGGAAAAGCAATTATTAGAAAAGTGTCTAGTACATTATAATCCATTGTTAATAAATACAAGCCATGACATTTGGACGCGTAATGACTATTTTAGTCGTCATTGTGTCCGTCAGTCTATACACCCCTATGGCGGCCAGTGATGTCACCCTTAATAACCCTATTATACCCCTTATATACACATAGAGTGGGCAGTCATATGACTTTGTGTGATATGTTGAGTACGATATTTGACGAGGGTGATTGTATGGTCCACCATACCGAGACCCAGTCCAATTATTGGTTTGACGTTGACATGCACATATATAACCATGCTCAACTTGGTAATGTGCACGGATTAAGAGTAATGATGGTAGGTGATGTATTGTTAAGTATTATTATAAATTTCATTAATAAAATGTTCACATTTTTGAATAATTAAAAATGTATTATTGTAATTTATTAAATCACCTACGAATCACACTATTTATTATGGTGTCACATTATAACCATGGTGAATTCGTGATTTATATATTATACCAACTAACTAATTTAATATATGACTATATTATTTATTCTAATGTATTAAGGCCTATGGGATTTTTGTAATAAAATGATAGGATAAATCCCAAGTTAGATAATGTGTATAACAATTACAATTAAAACAAATTAGCAACTTGTACACCTAATTATAAATTCTAATCCAATTTTTAATAATAATATTTATTTGTAAAAGTTTAAATTAATTATCTATACAGTACATTTTAAAACCAAAATTAATCAAATTTATAATCAATTATTACAACTGTTATGTTAACATATATTTCCGTAAAATAAGCACTGCTTAATTATATTATATTTATATTAAGTTTAATTCAAAATTTACGACCAGACGTCAAAATTCAACAATATAAAGGGCCCGTAATTATCAAGATATATTCGACTGGATCCACGAATTACCTAGATATGGGCCACCAGCTTCAAGCAAAATTAATGTTAATTCTAGTTTAATTTAGAAATTTATTATCAAGATTTTAAAATATTGTTTCAAAATCTTAAAGGGGAAATGAAAGACTATGTCTTTACACTTAGTATAGGGCGACCCCAGCGCCTACGAAATGGAGTATAACTAGAGTACTTCCAGTTCCACCGGCACTCCAGGTCCACCCGTTCCACAGTATACCTGTACTCCAAATTACTTCCAATTCTAAAAATTAATTAAGTCTTTCAAGTCTCCATATGTTTTCTAAGATACAGTATAATAGGAATGTGCAAAGTTAAGGCACAGGGCTTTTTGTCTTTCAGTGAAAACTTCTGTAAAAACTCTTAGCTTTTAGCATTCCATATGTGAACTTCAGATCAATAAATAACTTTTTCTAATAAAACTTTAAAAACCCAAAAACCTTTTACTTTTTTTCATAAATAAGATACTGTAGTCCCTGGCCCGAACCGCGCGAAAGGTCCTTGGTCTTTCAATACTGTTAACCCTGGTACAATTAGCGAAATAATTTAGTATAAAGTTAATTTTAATTATTGATTGTATTTGAATAAGTATTTGTATTGATAATACATAAATAATGTAAAAATACAATTTGATCAAGAATAAGTTTTATTTTAAACATTTCACTAAATCACCTTGATAGTACAATATTGAAAACATACTACAAAAATATTGTAGTAAACACTTTATTATTAAATATATAATATTATTAAATTATTATTATTATTAATTTAATGTTTGAAAATTAATTTTAATTGATATAGTAAAATATGATTTATTATGGCGTTAATAATGGTACAAAAGTGTTTTGATAGCTTTTTTACTGATAAAGTAAGGAATTTTAAACTTTACGTCATAAAATAATCCAGAAACTTTTAGCGCCTTAAAATACACCAATAATTTTTTATGTTCATTTCGAGATGTTTCAATATTAATACGTAATAGCCTCATATCATACAAGATAGCATTATTTTCAATAAACATGTCTTGGATTGTTTCCGAAACATGATCTTTCTCACTTTTCAACTCTTTCACCGTTCGCTTTAACAAATCTATTTCGTCATTCGCCAAGTGAGCCGTACTATCAGCTCCCGGTCCTCCTATAAAGCAAAACCATTTCATTAGTTGGGAATTAATCAAGATCAAATCAAATCAATTATTAGTGTTTGTTATGTGAGTGTAAGCGAAATGTCCTCAAATAATGGGTTAAATTCGTTAATCGATTAGTCATTGCGATTACCAATCAATCAGATCAGGCAATAGAGATATATTAAGAAATGCTTCAGAATTAAGACGACTCGACCACTCCACGAGATCTCCTGTGTCTCACTGGGGGTCTCGAACTGTCCGTCGACGGCCACCACTCGGATCTCATACGTCTTGTCCTCCTCTAATCCTCTGATGGGCACAATCAGTGAATCCTGATTCTCGTCTTTAGGAGTGTTAAGGAATCGTTCGCTTCCTTTAAATCAAATCATTATTAGAAAACACACGAAATGAGTATTCATACAAAATGTGATCACAAACCTTTGAGTCTGTACTGGACATAGAAATAACTGCCCGGATTTTTGCCACTTCCTGTCTTGGGATTCCACTGGACTCTGAGCTCATCCTTACCGTCGGGTGACTTTCGGTGATACCATTCAAAAGACGGTTTGTCAGGATATTCGGCCGAATCCTCGGATTTAGTGCTGAGCTCTATATAATAGGGTTCGCCCAACCCTTTAGTAGTGGTCGCGTGAATAGTTACCCTGTATTTGGTTTGAGGCATAAGTCCCGCAAGCCTTGCATTAGTGGTGAGCGGATCTTCAATCTTAGGCGAGCGCTCGAGTCGACTGTCCAACTGAGTGCCCAATACTTTCTGATAAAATATTCTAAATCCAGTCAATATACCATTGGGTTCTTCAGGTCGTCCCCAAAACAAGTAGAGGGCATTCGATCCAAGAGCTATGCCATCGAATGAGGATACGGGACCTGGAGTTCCTTCGGGGGTAGTCAACATTATTTCATTGGAGTAATCGCTAGTATAGGCGTCATTAAAGACCACAATTCGGGCGTAATTTTTAGCGTAAGGCTTAA